CACAACAAGGTAAATGCACTACATAACATTGTAAATGCACTACATAACAAGGTAAATGCATTACACAACATGATAAATGCACTACACAACATGGTAAATGCATTACATGACATAATATTTTACGACTTAAGATAGCTGTGGCTTTCCATAGATACCACCTGTTTTTGCATTGTTGCCAATCCCAGCTCTTTTGGGCAGATTTAAAAATTCGATTGGGAATTTAATAGAAAAGTCAGATTTTCTAACACTTCAAGATATTATTTTAGGAAATGTCAATTTTTCAAAGCTTATAAACCATTTATTGATTTTGGGAAAACAGTACTTGTACCAGTGTAAGATGCAGAAATGTTTGCCTGTTTTCACTAATTTTAAATCACTTGTTAATAGAACGCAACAAATTGAAGAATATATTGCCAAATAACAAGGTATAATTGAAATTCACAATTTAAAATGGTCGGCATTCAAAGATCTCTAGTCATAATTATTATTTGAAAACATTATAACTTGCCATATTGTTCGCATTGTTTTTTTTTTTGTCTGTTTTTTTATTGTATTCTGGCTGTTCTGTATATCTTGATTTATTGAAGCAATAACAATTAAAAAAAAACAAAAAAAAAAACAAAAATTTAAATAATTTATGCCAGGCATCCAGTAAAGTCTTCGGCTGAAGATTTATTATTTTTTAGCAGTTTTGCTAATTTCAGTTTTGTGGCAAGCTACAATGTTACCAGTCAGTTCTGCTCCCATGCTTCATTTACATGATTACGTGCCATAAATAGTCGGAAAGGCGCGCAATCGAAGAACAGGTAAATTTAACATCAACCAAACGACGCAAAATTATACACAATCTACCATGGATAGTTGGAAAAAAACATGGAACTAAAGAAAATAATGTTCATAGGCACCAAAATAGTAGCAAAAACACAAATAGTGGTTTAAAGTACTATGGTTAGGGTTAGGGTTAGGGTCATCGCAATGCGCATGTGCGACATTTCTGTTGATAAACATTGATTTTCCCACAACCCAATGCGCTCTTTCTAATGAAAATCACGCATAGAAGTTTTGACCTTGGCGCGACGCGCACTAATTACTGCCAGTGATCTTTGACACATTACAATCACCAAAATATACATAGTTAAAGCTTCGTAATGTCTCAGTTGTACTCGTTGGTGAGCGCAACAGTCAAACTAGCCATTTTTGTTCCTACGAGTCCTATATGCTGCGACGACCACCGCCCTTCAACATGCCGGTGCAATTAATCTAATACAATATGTGTGCTATGCCATTGGTAAGAAATAACAGACAAACGAACCAAAATAAAAGATAAGACTTGCTGAGACTTCGGAGAATCACAAAAAAAAATCGAGACATATAAAGTGTCATGTACCTTATAGTTGACGTGTCATGATCTGTCACTTTTACTTGATTTTGCAGCCCACTAGGAACCTTTTTCTATGATCCCATGATCCTGGAAACACAATCACGTCGGAAATAAAAGTTAAGAAAAACAATTTGATAACTTAGATGTGAATGAAGAATGAAGTGAATGAATGAAGTTTATTTCACTATAAACATATATACATATTATAATATCAATGTATGTTCTCTAAGATACGACATATACAACAACTAAATAACGGCAAGTAAAAACATAAAATTAGTGATAAATAGACAAAAAACAATAAATAAAATATAAAAAGTAGGAGCATGTACAAAGACATTGGATTTTAATTAGATGGCACTTCACTAAAATAGGCTCTTTGTACGTGATTGATGTTTGTGTGACCGAATATAATAAGATAGTTGACGCATATCAATTAGTCGTGTGCATATTAGTCAACTTAATGACGTCAGGTATTTTCCATCGTTGTTTCATCATCAACAACTTAATTTCTCCACAACTTTCATTATTTCTGATGATAGATAGCATGACTTATTGTTAAAGGAAGTCTGCAAAAAACTGTATCACTGAAGAGAAAACGTGATTACGTCATCTGGCATTTGTTTCTTTACACAGTAAATCATCCGATGAAATTTACCACACCTGTCAATTGAATAGATAAGCCAACCAGATTGTAGTATTCATATGTATAGAGTGTTAGGGTGTAACCACGAAATTGTACTCACCTCACCTCAGTGCACGTAATTGAATACAAAACATATGAAAACAAAGTGAAACGGCACTGTACATTTTCAATCTCTAATCTATGGCATAGAAGATAGCAGTCACGAACATCGCACCAAGGCGTTAGCGGACTGATTTATAACGAGTGAAACGCCACACACATGTCAGCTTTCAATATGAATGGCCTTGCGAACGAAGAGGAACTGAAGAGAAAATCAAGAATTGAGATAATATATAAGACATGTAGAGCAAGCAAGAGAAAATTTATATATGAAACGAAATTAAATGTTGATTGTGTTTTATGTGATGTAGGTAAGGGTGACGGTTTCTGCTATGGGGACAAACCGGAAAGAACACAATTCATGATACTAAATTCCATCCATAGTGCTCAGTAAATTACCATTGCTTCTATTGGTCCACGTGTAGTTGCCATAGAAACCTGAATATAAAATGAGATTACTTTGTGTTGATAAAATGATCTAATAGGGGTTACATCATTTCTCTTTATATGTTCGCAGGTGATGGTTTTCTTTTTTTTGGGTTTTCTTTTTTTAAGTACTGACTAAATAAGAATACTTATATATACTAATTAATGTTTTTATTGTTTAGTCGGTATTGTTGGTATTTTCTATCTATAGTTATGTCAATATTCATGCGAGGCCGTTTAGATATATATGATGGTACCGATAATATTTATTGTATATATATATATATATATTAGTTCACACAGAATGGAGATTGAAAATGCGACTGTCGTAAAGGGTCTGTTATCAACGCCTAAATACTTTCCTCATTGGTATATGTATGACACTCGAGGTTCCATTTTGTTTGATAACGCAGCAATGAACAACCCTCATTATCATATTTACGGGAATGAAACACGCATCCTGAAACAGAATATCGGTAAGGTGGTCATTTTTTTCTATCAATCAATTCTAGTTCCACCACATACTAATGGGAAGAACGTTTAGATTACAAGATTGTTAGCAAGAGCTAATAACGTATGAAACATTAGTTAAGTGCCGGGAAAGAAAGCTGTATATTTTGTATTTATTATAATTTATTATTATTATTATTATGGATGCTTGATATAAGGCGTACTAGAAAATTGGAAAAAAAGATACTTAGAAACTCACTTTAGGAAGGTCGGAAGTCGTGCTAATCACAAGAGAATTTTTCCATTAGAAAAGAAAGTGAAGAACCTCTCTAAAGGCCATTGTATTTACTACCAAATAGAGGATCCACAAGTTCTGGAGACATTGTGTATCAAATGCGGGTATTGACAAATTCCAAAGACCTGTTACAATTTAAACTTATTTTGAAATTTGACAGTGACACTGCTTCATTTATTGGAACCTTTAGCAAAAAATATTCAGTTTTATTCATACATTTTATTTTATACATTTTCATGTATGACCATGTAAAAACGGCAGTTTCGTTGGCACCATTTAGAATTACAATTAATACGGTTTTAAATATTTTTTTTTAAACCTTGCTTTTTTCTAAACCGGCTTATTAGCTTGTGCGTAAGTTATTATTATAATGACCTCATATGAGCGTATACGATGCGTTTAAGTATCTTATTTTTTCTATTCTCGGTTAATATCCAAGTTTTTTTGCAAATCTCTGATTACAATTGTTCATCCATCTGATAATTTGACAAGTAAATCAATTTTATGCAAGATAAACATCAATGATAATATTTCGTAACAAAATTATGATTTTTATTTCAGGGTATTTAAATTTTGACCCAACATTCTCCATTAATTGGAAATTCTCTTTTATCTTTACATTTTTGATAAAATATGTTAGAGAAAGAGTTAAATTTGTATAGCGACTCGTATATAATAAGTTTTTTTTTCTATCAAAATGAGGTGATTCAGTAGAGTACTTTCCTCTTGGATTCCAAAGAATATATTCTCCGATGTTAGTGTATGACTTTTCTCTGTAGTCTTAAAATTACGTCAAGAATGCGATGTAACATTTTAAACTGAAAATTTCATTTTTTTTTTCTTCTATTGTAGTTCACGATAGTTTCCAATTTCCCCTCTACTCTGGACGTTTTGCATATTGTAGTATATTGAGCTTGGGTCGTATTTAATGACATGTACTTTATTACGTCATCTGCATTGCGTAATCAGAACGCCGCCATTACTGTAATAAACCAGTTGTGTTGTTTATACCGAGCTTGTATTCGTTAGTCTGTTACGGCCTTCACTGCACCCAAGAACCCAACAATTTGGCGACAAGGAGTAACTTTGACGTACAGAAAACCGTCAGAACAAGTGAAGTGAGTACAAATTATTTTTGAGCCTGTTTTGAAGACAAAACAAATCAGCGTCACAATGGACGGCAACGATGCTTTGAAACCGTTCAACCCAATTCCGCCAGAGACAGCTATAGTGCGCTGGGAAAGGTGGATAGCAAGATTCGATAATTATCTTGTATCCAAGAATATTACACAGGATGCGAGGAAAAGAGCTCTCCTACTTCACCTAGCGGGGGAAGAAGTTTTTGAAATTCGCCTCGGATTGGAGCAGGCGGAAGACGAAACGTACGCACAGTTGAAGACAAAACTGAGTGAGTACTTCGCGCCAAAACGAAATGTAGAGTATGAAGTGTATGTGTTTCGCCAGGCAAGTCAGTTACCAT